TTGACAAAGAAGAAGTCAAACTCTCACTCTTTGCAGATGATAGGATACTGTATGTGGAAAACCCAAAAGACTCCACTCCAAAACTGCTAGAACTCATATAGGAATTCAGTAAAGTGGCAGGATATAAAATCAATGCACGGAAATCAGTTGCATTTCTATACACCAACAGTAAGACAGAGGAAATAGAAATTAAGGAGTTGATCCCATTTACAATTGCACCCAAAACCATAAGATACCTAGGAATAAATATAACCAAAAGGCAAAGAATCTATAAAGTACTCATGAAAGAAATTGAGGAAGACATAAAGAAATGGAAAAACATTCCACGTTCATGGATTGTAAGAACAAATATTATGAAAATGTCTATGCTACCTAGAGCAATCCCTATTAAAATACCATCAATTTTTTTCAAAGAAATGGAACAAATAATCCTAAAATTTATATGGAACCAGAAAAGACCCCATATAGCCAGAGGAATGTGGGAAAAAAAAAAAACAAAACAAACACCAAAGTTGGCGGAATCACAATTCCAGACTTCATGCTCTATTACAAAGCTATATTCATCAGGACAGTATGGTACTGGCACAAAAACAGACATAGATCAATGGATCTAGAATAGAGAGCCCATAAATGGATCCTCATCTCTATGGTCAACTAATCTTTGACAAAGCAGGAAAGAATGTCCAATGGAAAGAAGACAATCTCTTCAACAAATGGTGTTGGGAAAATTGGATGGGCACATGCATAAGAATGAAACTGGACCGTTTCCTTATACCACACACAAAAAGAGACTCAAAATGGATGAAGGATCTCAATGTGAGAAAGGAATCCATTAAAATTCTTGAGGAGAACTCAGGCAGAAACCTCTTCCACTTCAGCCACAGCAACTTCTTCATAGAAACATTACCAAAGACAAGGGAAGCAAGGGCAAAAATAAACTATTGGGACTTCAGCAAGTTCAAAAACTTTTGCACAGCAAAGGAAAAAGTCAACAAAACCAAAAGACAACTGACAGAATGGGAGAAGATATTTGCAAACGACATATCAGATAAAGGCCTGGTATCCAAAATCTATAAAGAACTTATCAAACTCAACACCCAAGGAACAAATAATCCAATCAGGAAATGGGCAGAGGACATGAACAGACATTTCTGCAAAGAAGACATCCAGATGGCCAACAGACTACATGAAAAAGTGCTTAACATCACTGTGCATCAGGGAAATACAAATTAAAACCACAATGAAATACCACTTCACACTAGTCAGAATGGCTAAAATTAACAAGTCAGAAAACGACAGATGTTGGCGAGGATGCAGAGAAAGGGGAAACCTCCTACACTGTTGGTGGGAAAGCAAGCTGGTGCAGCCACTCTGGAAAACAGTATGGAGCTTCCTTAAAAAGTTTAAAATAGAGCTATCCTATGTCCCTGCAGTCACACTACTGGGTATTTACCCTAAAGATACAAATGTACTGATCTGAAGGGGTTTGTGCACCTGAATGTTTATAGCAGCAATGTCCACAATAGCCAAACTATGGAAAGAGCCTAGATGTCCATCAACAGATGAATGGATAAAGAAGATAAGGTATACAGATATAATGGAATACTATGTAGCTATCAAAAGATACAAAAGCTTGCCATTTGCAATGACGTGGATGGAACTAGAGGGTATTATGCTAATGCTAAGCATAATAAGTCAATCAGAGAAAGACAATTATCATTGATCTCTCTGATATGAGGAATTTGAGGAGCAGGGTGGTGTCATGGAGAGTAGGGAGGGAAAAAAATGAAACAAGATGGGATCGGGAGGGAGACCATCCATAAGGGACTCTTAATCTCGGGAAACAAACTGAGGGTTGCTGGGGGGTGGGGGATAGGGATAGGGTGGCTGGGTTAAGGACATGGGTGAGGGATGTGCTATTTTGAGTGCTGTGAAATGTGTTAAGCCTGATGATTCACAGACCTGTACCCCTAGGGCAAAAAATACATTATATGTTAATAAAAAATAATAATTAAAAAAAACAAGAGCAACATTTTTAAATGTTAGATTGCATTAATATTGCTTCAACAACCCTTGCATATCAGGAAAGGGTCAAATGGCACTTGTTTTCCAACAAGCATGCCAGAATTTTAATTTGAGTAACTTGGACTGTTTTTGCTAAAGTATATAAATCATGAAAGGGTTGATTTTTTGTTACATTTTAGACAATTTCATTTTAAATATTACTATTTCTTGTGTATTAGGTGATTAAAATTGGTGATAATATACATATATTCAGAATCAACCTTATGTTTTTCAATCTTTGGTTTTGCCATTTCACTTGGTACAAATATGGAGGTTGTCAAAGAGGGGGCGGAGTCGTGTTCACAGGTGCCCATATTTTGTATTACATTGGAAAGGACAAGTGATTACTTAGCCTTTGTTTGGATTCCTTGAGAGTTTCTCTAATTTGACTAAATGTCTGCTAGTGTGATCCTCTCATTATACCTTAGTGACTCTCTTGTTAAAGATTTGTGCATTAAAAAAAAACACAAAACTTTTATTATACTACCTCAGAGTTGGTGTTTTCGTAAACATCATCATATCCTCACAGCAACTCCGTGAGGCTAACAGGATTATCCCCTTTCTACATACAGGGAAACTGAGGGTCTGAGAGGTGGCATGATGCCACCACTGTGCCTGCAAGTACTACATTCTGACCTTAGCCTAGAACTCCACATGTCAAACCACAATTACTTGATCAGAGTAACATACAAAAATGAAATCGAAAACAAATAGCCCAGTTAAACCCCATCTTTATCTCATTAAAGGCGCTAGGAAAATTTTAAGATTAATAAACTAGGACTAGTTTGTAAAACTGGAGGAAAAAAGTCATTTCAGTCATGTTTTGATCTATGATAGACAATTCTTTTAGTTATGTTTAAATTTTAATTTTTGAGAAATTATTTTAGCTGCTACAAACAGAATAAAAATGTAGATTTATGATATTCTTAGGATATGCATTGTATATATGTGTTTATGTGTATACATGTATGTTTTCTGAGATGGAGGAAATTTGTTCCAGTACATAAACCTTTGGTATTATATCACCTATAAATGTGAGTGTCTATTTTTAAAATTATGTGAAAAACAAAGCTTTAATATATAGTTGAGAGACTCACTCCCCAGCTTTATATAAACTAGCAGGATGAAATACTTAGCTTGGAATGAAGATAGAAGAATGCATCTACCATACCCACGAGGAGATTTCTTAGAACCAGGGTTTGAAATGACACAGGAGGATAGGCCACGTGCTCCCATGGGGTCACAGCACCATGTCCTTCCAGCTGCCTATGCTGAGTCCCTGCGGGGCTCACTCATTTGTTCTCAGTCTCTCAATTCATCTCTTTTCTTTGCACTAGTTTTGGAAATACAGTCTCTTACCATGCTTTTTGAGTCTTCTTACCAAGAGAAGAATCTCCAGAAAAGACAAGTGGATCTGCTCAGGCAATGGCCATCAAAGTTTGTGTTAAATCAGTATTTATCAAGAAAGTTTATCCTAAAGAGTTTGTATTTTTCATAATGATCAGCTATCTCCATTGACAACCTCTGACATAATGTCTGTAGAAAAATTCATATTTACTTTCCATGGTGCTCTTAACATTCACACTCAGACTGGGAGCCATTCACAGAACTATAAAATGACAAATCGAAAATGAGATTGCTGCCCTACCTAAGATAGCCCCTGCTCCCAGCATTTCTGGAGGTGAACAGGCCCCTTCTGTGTTTGGTCCTTCCATCCTCAATTCAATTTCTCCCACAGTTCCTCTGTGGATGGAAGTAAGAAACTTTAAATATGCAAGCAGAGGCTCCTTCCTTGGGCAGGATAGCTGACCAAAGAGACATAAATAAGATGGCTGCTTCCACACAGAAAATAATTGTTTTTGAATTTATAGCTTCCTTTGAGACTGGGTGTGGTAGAGCCAGAGTTAGATTATTTTACTTAATGTTTCTCTTTCTTATAGTTGATCAAAAAACAAAACAAACAAAACCTTTCCTTAAATATTTTATGAAAGGATGAATAATTATATAATTTGATGGAATAAAACCAAAGTATTCACAGTAACTTTCAAGAATTCACTTTTTGTTATAATCATTGCTTAAAAAGAAGTTATGCAACTGTTAAGTAACTTGCTATTAGAGTATACCTAGGAATTCACTGACACAGCAGAAATCTTTCTATCTATGTATCATCTACATGTATGCATACAGATCGATCTACATAGGTATCAGGTATTCCAGATGTTTACTATTTTTTCCCATACACAGTCTTTGGACCTAAATAGGTGTGAGAAGCCAGTGTGAATCTCCCTTAGTAATATTTATAATAGCATCAATAATACTAATCAATTTTTTGAGAATTCCTGGACACTTTCAAAACTTAGTGAAATAGTGTACAATCATTGTTTTTCTCCCCAGATATTTATTTCTCCTCATAGTTATTTTTTCTGAAATCTGATGGAGTCAAATAAGCCCTCAAGTTTTAAACTATTTCAAGAATGGATTTTATAGAGCCAATGCCCAACGACTTTCTTGAAGATGTGGTCTGATTGTATTCCTGTGAACTAAGGTCTTTCTTTACTGAGGCCTGGCATAGAGTGTTTATGATCTCTGGATTCTATCCTCCAAGACTTTACAAAGAACAGATTCCAGAATCATTCTTTGAATTTGAGACATGTAGCATCACCAGTTAAGATCTTCCTGGTCACAGCTGCAGTCATTTGGATAGTTGTGCAAGTGGCTCTAAAAATACTGTGAAAGGATAAAAAGAAAAAAAAAAACTTGTATATTTTTTATAAGGTGGCAATATCTGAATATGCTAGTCCTTTAAAATTCAACAATTTATTTGATAAAGCAAATACTACCATTTTGAGTTATTAATTTCTAATACTAAATTGTGTTTGCAGTTTTAAGATCATAGCCTTCTTACAAAATGATTATATTTTCTTCTTCCTTTGTAGGTAACCCATTAACAAAGGATAAATCAAGTGATCCTCAAGCCTGATTACATTGAACACATGCACAGAAACTTAATTCCCGAGGTGATCTTGAAGGGAGATTTTTATATCGCTCACAAGAGGCACTGCAGAGTCTTATTTCCAAGGGATTTCATGGCTCGTAATCAGCCTCTTCTTGAAACCGAGACTTTTAAAAAGTCAGACATGAACTTCTATGTCATGAAGATTTTGTCAGATTTGAACTGTGTTCAACTTGTAAAATTGCATTTGCTAAGAGAATTTGAATTTGCCATCTGAAGAGCTGGTGTTTCCAGGTGATGTCAGAGACACTCACCTTTATGGTTCTTGGCCTCAAGTGTGACTGTTTTTCTTGCTTCTGAAAGTCTGCCAAGTGCACCGGCCTGCAGCCATGGATGTGTTCCTGGGTCTGGTCCTGTGTTCATTGGTGGGTGGGACTGCACCCGGCTTTACTGACATTTTCTTGTGAACTTCTCCTCTGGCATGGTGTAGACTGAGATGATTTTATTTGTAACCTAATCTTGGAGCTCTGAAAGCCTACATGTTTTAACATCTTAAAATTGCTTTTGTTAAAGGAATGGAAATATATATCCATTGATAATAATTATTGTTGGCAAGTAATAGTTATCTGAATACATCAATCATATAAGAATGTATAGACAAGCTGACATGTTTCCCCAAGGCTAACATACTACTGCAGCTCTCTGTCAGTTAAATAGGTAGTAGTTAGAACTGAATTTCCATTTTCATTATATGCTATTTTGTACTTCTAGAGTACTCTCCCTCTTGGTTGTTTTGTTTTGTTTTTTAAGTGGGCTTTTTCTTTTGTTTGTATTTACTTTTTCCCTTCACAGAAATCAGCAGTGAGCAGTCAAGTATGTAGGTAGCTTTCAGTTTCAAAAAATCGCCAGGGATGCATGTGGATTTCTGATTTCTTAGCTTGAGAGTTATTCACTTTTCTTCTAGTAAATTTTTTTTTAGCTGTCCTATCATTTTAATAGACTGTCCCTTGCTCGCTCCCAATGACTGTTTGAATGCTTATATATTTGTTTGTTCTGTCTGTTAATAGAATTGTTCATTTTCCTTGGTCTTGAATTTATAAATATTTGCTTATAGTTGTCCCATTCAAACAATTTCTTAGGTCAGTTTCTGTCCACAGTTTTGTAGTCATTTTAACATTTTTTTGTTTTTCAGTTCTACAGGAAAGTCTTACAAATATTTAAAAGCCTTAAACATGTATGTACTTTTTTCTAAGTTATTAGAGAATGTATAATTTTATACTACATTTATTTTATTTCATTTGTTATGTGAAGGTAGAGAAGAATTGAAAATGCATAGCCATTCTGTAATAATATTGTGTAAATGTATAGTTGAAGGGATGTAACCAGAGAGACTTCTTTGTTTACTCATCTTAACCTAAAAGGAAGTTACTTCAGAAATTGTCCTATTAGAAGTTCCATTATGTTAGAAAAAATGTGACCATCTTTCATATTTTTAAAACTCACTGACATGGTCAATTAAGTCTATGCTGGTTTCCATGATGGAGGCTGACATACCTTGGAGAGTTTTGGTCTGTTAGTTGGCAACGAATTTCAAAGACCAGTACATTACCCAGAATGTCTTCTGGGCAGAAAAATTGAAAATGTAAAATTTGTCAAAAGTCAAATTTGTAAAGTATACTTTGGACAGTGAACCAAAGTGTATTGCCCCGCAAGTCCATGGGATGAGATGACTTCCTCCCTCCATGTTAGTTATACATAAAATTGATTAGATGACTCTGAGTGGATTTTGCAACAGTTCAAGACTGTATGAATTCAGAAAGAAAAAAATAACAATTGTGCTGGAATTTTTGCATCAATTGTAACAGCATTAATTTCTTTGGAGCAAAGTAGAAACCTGTATTATTTTGGAAATTATGAATTTGTCCTAGGTTTGTTTGAAATTGTACATCATGCTTCTCATTTTTTTTTAACTGAGTCCTTTAAAACAACACTAGAAATTCTGTATTATATACAAGTGTAACACATGCCTATCAATAGAAAAAAATAAATGGAATTTCAAATATACTAACTAGATTATCCCCAGTAGATTAATGTTGTGACTATTCAGAAAAGGTAAATAAAATTGGGATATAAAATGGACTCTCTTCATGAGTTACATTTGGAGAATCTGTTTTCTAATGTTTTATTTCAAAAGTATTTCAGTTACTGTCCAGAAAAACCTCTGAATTCATGGGGAGCTGACATAAATTTTTCAGTCTAACTTTTAATAAAAATGCATGGCAACTCTTGCCATTTACACAAGGTTCCAATACTTGGTTTGTTTCTTTGCTAGGAAACAATCGAAAGAGATATATTTACACTTGTGCTATTATTTGCCCATATCTTGACTATGAGCACAACTGATGTATGTTTACTAGCAATATGCAAAATTCTTTTTATTATACAAATTGTTAAATATACTGCTTATGCTTTAAGGTTTATTATATATGGAAATGTTAATGAAAATATCAGATATGGCTATAACTCAGCTTTCAAATTAAAAAAAAAATAATTTTGACAAATAGGTTAAAATTCACAATCTGTTACCAAAAAAAAAGTGGAAAATTGTGTGCCCTTTCCCCCACTGTCCTCCAATGCCAAAATCTTATAAAACCAAGAAACTGACATTGGTACAATATTATTAACTCAAATACAGATCTTACTTAGACTTTACCGGTTTCACAAGCAGTGTGTGTGTGTGCATGTGTGTGTGTGTGTGTGTGTGACAGAGAGACAGAGAGACAGAGAGAGAGAAAGAGATCTTATCCTTTTCACTTAACTTAGTAAAACTTTACAATGGTGTGTATTACAGTATAAGAATATGGTTAATGACTGACGGATTTGTAATAACATTTTTCAAGTTCTTTATTTTCAGAATAACATCCTTTAACTTTGTTTTTCTTTGTTTTTTTGTACACTCTTGTTGCCATAACATAATGGAGACTTCCAGTTTTAAGGCCAGACAGTACCACATGTGATTTCAAACTTTGTTTTGACTTTAATGAGTAAGAGGAGAACTGAGAATCTGTACGTAAAGATGAAATAAAAAGGGAGTTTATCCTGTTCTTTATTTCCCTTAGCATGTCCTGTGCTGTAAAATTAGGCTGTGACCTTTGATGATACAAAATAGCTAATAGCACAATGATTAAATGGGACTTAATCTTTATGAAGTTTTTATTATTTTCTCAATTCATAGATGATAGTAGGTATATCCGGCTAGATTACATTTGGGGGTTAGCTGAAGTTTAAACTTTTAACCTTTAAAATACTTTAAAAATCAGCTTATGAGGTACTTTTTCAATGTTCTACTTAGGAATGGCACTGTGCTAACCTATGGGAAAATGGGTACACAAAAGACTTAATATTCCATATTTGTTCTGATTTTTTTCATGTTTTTAATATATTCCAAGTTACTAAATAGGATGCACTATGTCATAAATATTTGTCTTGTTACACAAAGTGACTTAACTTTATTTTTGAACTTTATTCTAGAAGTTAGGTGAACAGGACAGTGCATGTCCATAGTTGTGTTTTACAGATTTTAGCAAAAATGTGATTATGGACCTGAAGAGAAGTAACAGAGGACTAAAATAATCTGGGGAAGAGGAAATGAGGCCTGGTCTTGGACTATTACACTGAGAAGAATGTGAAACAATAGATATCAATGCCAGCTGCAATTTAAATTACTTGAGGATCCTAACAATTACCCATGCTTGACCCTACTCTCTGATATGCTCTTACATGTGCCCAGCCTTTAATCCTAGACCACTAGTTTTTTGTTTGTTTGTTTGTTTTTTAAATAAAAGCTCCCTAGGTGATTCTAATGAGCATTCAGCATTAGGAACCACTAATGAAGGGTTTTGCACAAGGTGGAAGTGATGAATTGGGTGAAATGATTGGATGAATCAGAGGAAGACATGGAAGAGAACTCCAGAAGGCCCTGGGCTTACTAATATGGGCTAACTGAGGCTCAATTATGACAGAAAAACCTGGGGAAGAGCAAGCATAGTGGCAGGTAGAGACAATGAGTTCATTTTTTCAAGCCTACTGAGTTTAAAGTACCAATGAAACATTCAGGTCACGTCAGATAGGAAATGAACAGGTTTTATTGGATTTGTAATTAGAGGTTATTGTTGATTTTGGAAAGAGCAGTTTCAATGAAGGGCTTATTTTAGAATTGAGCTTTCGTTGGGTTGGACAATGAATAAGAGATTTGCAAGTGGAAATAGCACACACAGACTTCTCTTTGAGGGGGTAAAGGCAAAGTACAGTAGTGTTTATGAAGGGGAGGCAGAATCCAAAAAGTGCATTTTTTTTTAAATATGGGAGAAAAAAGAGTGTGTTTATTTATGCTGCAAAGGGAGAGGGAGGAGGGAGAGCGGTGTGTTAAGAACCTAGAACTGAAAATAAAAAGGAAATGAAAGCAGGGGTGTCCATATCTATATGGAAAGAAAGTCATAATGTGTAAGGAAGAAACAGAACCAAATCCCATAGAAAATCTAATGGGGTAAACAGTGGAGAAGCAATTGGCGCTTAGGTCTTTGGTGACCTTCCACACAACAGTGTCACTAGTGTGGTAGACCATAAATCAAAGAGCAATCATAGGGGTTGATAAGCCCTATGGGTGAGTTTCAGCTTATACCTGGGCTACTGAGGGAAAGTTAATGACTCCAAGATTATAAATAAATAAGAGAAATTAGCCAAGTCATAATATCCTTATTTATAAAGTAAAAACACTTTGTCTCACAGGATTGTTGTGAAGGTTCAATGAGTTAATATATGCAAAGTGCAGTATGTACTACATAGTATTTACTAAATGGTTGTTCTTCATTTGTGAAAGAGGTCAGTTCTGTTCACCCTGAAATTGGTGTAAAAACTGTGTTGATAGAAAATAATAAAACCATATCATGTACGATATAAAAAGTTTTGGGGCCCTGCTGGTATTTGTGCTAAATAGAATGAGAAGATGTAGAGGCACTGCATTTAAACCACCTTTTTTCAGAAATTGTGTGGCTGCAAACAAGGTTAAAGAGTAACCAGTGGCAGACTAAGTGAAAATACAGTTTCTTTGACAGAGACCAGAAAGGTTGACAGCTGAGCAAAAGAAGAAGTAGAGAAGGAGAAATTGATAAAAGAAGGGATTTATTGGGAACAGGTTGGGAATATCAAAGGGAAGGGTTATTGTGAGAACAATCTATGTTTTTGCTGTTAGATAAATGAACAAAAGTGGATGAAGCTGGGGAGAAATTTAAAAGCGAGGTTAAAGGAAATAATGCCTAGGGGCCTCTGGGCTGAGGGAGTAGCAGCACATAGAGGTTTTAAGTAGAGGAGATTTATCTGCTGAGTACACAAGATACAGAGTTTGGTTTAAAATTAAGGCAAACAAAATATCTGAAGCAAATTTTGGTGTTTTTAGATACTCAGAGCTCAAAAAGCAGTAAAGTCATAATATAAGGAATTTAATCTGTAGAGATATGTGACTTTTCCATTAGCGTAATGCAGCCTGGACAAAAAATGGTAAATGAATAGTTGGATCACTGGATGAAAATAGGCAAGGTTAAAAGGCTAGCATCTCTTGAGTCCTTACTCTGTGCCAAAAGTTCTAAGAACTTTATAACTTAATCTAATCTTATTTGAGATATATATCATTGCTACTACCATTCTGTAACAAGAAAACTGGGGCAGGGAGAGGTTAAACAGTTTCCCTACTGTCTCGTATTAGTATGTGGCACAGCCAGGATTTTAACCTCTGTCGTAGCAAATAGTACAGTGTTAGCTTACATGCCATGAAGGAGTATATGATAGGGCTATAAGAAGACTCAGAGGTCCAGTAAAATAAAAGGGAATGATGTTTATAAATCTAGATGGGGTAGAAACTAGATTTGAAAGTGGAGAGCAGTTTAATTAGAGATAGGGAATAAGGAGAGATCCATTGATTAACAAATATTTTTGTGCTCTTGTGTGCCAAGAATTGTGTTAGAAGCAGTGAATAAAATATAAGTACAGTTGACCCTGAACAACACATGTGTGAACTATGGGGGTCCATTTACACGTGGATTTTTTACAATACAGTACTACAAATATGTTTTCTCATGCTTTTCGTAACATTTACTTTTCTCTAGTTTTATTGTAAGAATATAGTATATAATATATATAACATAAAATATGTGTTTATAGACTCTTTGTGTTATTGATAAGGCTGGTCAACAATAAGCTATTAGTAGTCGACTTTTGGGGGAGTCAAAGGTTATACATGAGACTTCAGGCCCAAATTGGTAACATAGGAAGATCCTGAACTCACTTCCTCCATGGACACATCAAATATACACCTATTTATATAGCAAAAACTGAAAGCTGACTGAACAGCTTCTGTACGACAGAAGACGGACCATGTACAAAATGGGAAGAGAGAGAGAGACATGGTAACAGAGAATCCCCACCCCCAATGTTGCAAACTGAAGTGGGGAGGGATAGTACCAATGGATGTGAGCAGATTCATTAACCCTCAGGCTCACAAAAAGAGCCATGACTTAAAAGGGCAACTTGAATATAAAAAGGATCGAGCCCCAGAACCCTGCCCAATGGCAGGGTAATTGCTAGAACTCACTTCAGGTCAGAGGGGCTGGCAAATGCCATGGTTTACATTCCCACTCCACCTTAATAGTGTGGGTCCTTGATGACAGGGTTCAGGCACTGTAACTGTCCTGATGCCTCAGTGAGCCCCAGGCCCCTAGTAGATACCAGCCCTGGAGGCCCTGGGGCACAGGGAGAAAAAAGGCATATTTTAAAAGAGCAACTATGATATACAAAATGCAGGTCCAGAAGTCCCCAAATGGAAGGGGAAAGCTACTGAAACTCTCTCCAGGTTGGAGGGGCTGGTGAGCTCAAGAATTTATATTATTACTCCACCATGATAGTGTGTACAAGACCAATATCCAGTGACTGAGGTGGCCTACCACCTCAGTGAGCCCTGGGCCCCTAGCCCACACAAACCCCAGCCATCTATCATCAAGGTCGTGCATACCCAAACACCCATGGGCAGTGCTCACTAAAGCTCCAGGTATCTTGCCAAGGTGACAAAGGTGCAAAGGATCCTGGAACACTCCAGACCTGCACCCTTT